CTCTAAGTAGTATAGTTTAAGTTTTAAACATTTTTTGTAAAGGTACTAGAACCACATGGTTCAACATTTATAAAAGGTATGCAGTAAAAAAAGTACATTTTTTATCTCTTGCCTCTTTTATTTACTTCTCATCAGCTCCCCTGCCCCTGAACACATCCTTATGGAGGTAACCTCCTTCAACATGTTACTCAGAAGCCCCATTTCATTGAGTTTCCCTTGCACATTCTACTCAAATTGCAACCCTTACCCTCAGTGCTCTGGGCCCTGTTTCCGTCCTTTAATTCCTCCATAGAACCATCACCCTTTACCACATTTTGTATTTTACTTTTTTTACTTACTGTCTTTCCATACAGGAATGTGAGATACCCAGAGCAAGGAGTCTGTCTGTTTCTTTACCTACTACAGGGTCCAGCACAAATAATGCCCCTTTTTATTACAAAATCATAAGCATGCAATTCTGTAATGTAATGATCTCACTCTCAAGCACACCATATGACATTTTAAGTGAAATGTTCAAATTAAAACTTTTATAAATTTTTACAGCTGTATTCTTGCCCATCAGCCACACTCAAGCAAGCCTTATTTCTGTGGAACCCTGTATATCCCCGATGCTTAGTGGGGGCTCAAGAAATATTTGCTGGATTAAGTTAAGTTGAACAATTGGGTGTCTAACTACTGGTGCTATTTAGAATATTGCTCCTTGAGTATTCTATAATTTCTGCTATCTGAATAATGGTGCTATGTTGTTTAATACATGGATATTCATAACTATTATGTACCTTATAGACTTGTACCACTTAATGTTTTCACCAGGAGTTCCATCTTAGTTGATAATGAAATTATGCCTCTACATTTTTTTCATTTGCATTTGCATGGTTTTCTTTTGCTCATCTTTTAACTTTTGTATTATCTTATTATATTTTCAGTGTTTATTCCCAATGTTTTTTGTGCACTTTCACTGTGTGGTCTCTTTGACTTTGGCGTACATGTGTATGGTATACATGGCTGTGCATATGCACACATGCATTTAGTGTTTAGGAATATTTTTTCTATTATTATAATTTTAACACTCTTGTTTTTTGACTGATTTTGAAAGTGTCTATTGGTTCCTAATAATAGTAAAATTGGTACATTTTTCTCTTTCATTTGTCTTCCCTTTCTCTTCCAACATTTGATTATCTCTTTCACTTTTTACCTCTGTACTATTAAATATGCACAAACTTATATTACTTAACTTGCTAAGTTTAAGTGACATATTAGTAGTTTATGTGTTATTATAGATGAGACAATCAGTAAGACTTCCTATATACCCAATTCCTTTTTCTATCCCCCAGTGAATTTTTGTGTCATATTTATAATAAGGTATTGGAACATCGGTGAGAAAATAAATTATTATACCAATTTGGGAAATGGATAACCCATGTGCATTGATTTCCTATTGTTGCTGTAACAAATACCACAATATTAGTGGCTTAAATCAACCCAGATTTATTATCTTATGGTTCTAGATGCCAAAAATCTAAAATCAGTCTCACTCTAAAGTCAAGGTTTGGTAGGGATGCTTCCTAAGAGCGGCCACTGTGGGAGAATCTGTTTCCTTGCCTTTCCAGCTTCTAGTCAGCCTGCATTCCTGAGCCCATGGCTCCTTCCTCCTTTTCAAAGCCAGCAGATCAGTATCGTCAAATCTTTTTCTGCTTCAGTTGTTACACCACTTCCTCTGACCCTGATCTCCTGCCTCTGTTTATAAAGGCCCTTATGATTTCTTTGGATATACCTAGATGAACCATGATAATCTTCCCTTCTCCAGAGTCCTAATTCAATTACATTTGCAGACTCTTTTGCTATATACGGTCAAATATTTACAGGTTTCAGGATTAGGATGCGGACATCATGGAGGTGGCATTTGGGGGGCATTATTCAACCTGACATTGGATGCTATACTATACAGTGACAACATACTTGATGAAACATTCACTTACCATAAACTGAAACATTTAAAATACGCCCAATGATCTTATGATCCCAGGCAGAATGGAAGGTTGGGCAAGATGGTTCCAGGGAGAACATCAGAAGCAAAATTTTGTTGCTTTTTGCTAACTATGATAAGGTACTACAAGAAGAAGATGAGCTCAGAAAGTGAGGGTGTTTTAAAAAGTTAGCCTTTCTTTAACTGAAGTAAATTGACACACAACATTATGTTATTGGCTTCTCCAAAAAGTTTGTTTAGTTTTTTTCTGTACGAGGGCTCTAGCAGTGCTTAGCTGTCTTTAACTTCCTTGGAAACAATTTTGTTAGATTGTATTGTGACAGCTGTCATATCAGCATGCATTAAAAAAACTTATCACAATTGGTGAATTTTTGTGTAGCCAGTTTAATATTAAAGATGAAAGAAGATATGCAGCCTTTTCAGGATATTATTCTTCATTATTTCACAAAAGGTTAAAATACAACTGAAACACAAAAAATGATTTATGCAGTGTATGGAGAAGATGCTGTGACTGATCAAATGTGTCATAAGTGGTTTGCAAAGTTTCTTGGAACTCTTGACATTTTGGCCAAATTATTCTTTACTGTGGGGCTGTCTTATGCACTGGAAGGTATTTAGCAGCACCCCTGGCCTCTACCCACTAGAAGCCAATAGTGGGAGATATCTGACATACTCAAAATATTCAAATCAATGAAGTTATTGGTGAAAATAAAAATGTTTCTTTTATTTTATGGAAACAAAATAACTATTGGCCAACCCAATAGTTTCAGAGGTACAGGATAATGATTCGATATTTGTAGATATTACAAAATAATCAGCACAATAAATCTAGTTAATATGCATCACCATATAGTTATGAATTTTTTCTTGTGATGAGAACTTTTAAAATTTACTCATCAACTTCCACATGACACCACAGTGTTATTAATTGTAGTCACCCTGCTGCACATTATGTCCTCATGACTTATTTATTTTGTAACTGGAATTTGTACTTATTGACCCCCATCATCCATTATGGGAGGGCTTTTTTCAACGCTAAAACTCGAGGTCTAGTAAGTTTCTTTAGTCCTAAGATCACATGTGCCTAGACAGTACACTGTCCCCAAGAGGATGACAACCATGTGGACAAGATTCGGATCCACAGACTTGCTTTCTGAAACTGAGCATTCCCAGCCAGACTGCAGATTCTTGAGTATTAAAGATCATTGTCTTAACCACTAATTTCTTGCATGATGGTGGCAATGGGTGAATTTCAAATAATATATTTTATATATTTATATTTCGTCTGTCATCATAAATGATATTCTTTGGCTTCTAGATATTTCAAAAGAGACAATCAAATTCTTCCTTCTGTCCCAATATGCTCTTTCCTAACTTTTTTTTCATTATTTTTTTATCATTAGGGATTATACTTTTGCCTATTTTGAAGTAACCCTAATCATTTTGTTTGGTTTGCAGTTAAAAATATTCTATGCTTTTTCCCTGCACGTTTTCTTGTCACGTTTTTTACCACTTTTCTTAATTAGCTGAAGTCTCTTCCTCCAGTGTTTTTTTAAAAGGCCTCTTGGGAATAAAATTCATGTTTCTTGCATGTGCAAAACAATTATTGGTGAGTTTTATACTTGAGTATGGCTTGTCTTAATATAAAATCCATGGTTCATGCTTTCTCTTCTTTAAGTACCATTTAGATAACTGCTCCACTGACTGCTGGTATTGGAAATTTCTGTGGAGAAAATGGAGACCAGCATGATTTGTTTTTCTCTCAAGTAATGTGATACTTTTGCTTGTCTCTGTATCTTTGATGTCCAATGTTTTTAATGGGTTACGTCTTGGCCTATTTCAGGTCAATTTTTTTTATGACACAAAGTGTTCTTTTTTTGTTATAAAAAGATAAGTCCTATTTTATAATTTTTTTTCCTGTGGTAAAGCATAGTTGACAAAACATTTACTATTTGAACCATTTTTACAGACTGTTCAGTAACATTCAGTACATCCACATCATTGTATGACCATTACCACCACTTGCCTCCAGATTTGTTTCCGTTCTCCCAAACCAAAACTCTGTACCCATTAAACACATTAAACCCATTAAAGCCATTCCTTTCTCTCCCAGCCCCTGACAAACACTCTTCACCATTTGTATTTCTGTCTCTATGAATTTGACTTCTTTAGATACATCACACGTAAATTGAATCATACAGTATTTGTTCTTTTGTGATCTTTTATAATCTTTTTTAAAAAATTGTATCTTTAAGAATACTTTTCTGTTTTTGTTTTACCTTGCTTTTCTCATGAGGGACTCACCTTATGCATATACTGAGGATATTTCCACCTAAATTGAAAAGCTAATAGTTTGTTATTTTTAAGTCTTTCTCTTCCATTTTTCACTCTTCTAGACCCTTACTACTTTTTTTTTTAAAGTGACCATTCTTCGTGGCCTTCATGTTTATTTCTGCAATTATTTTTTCCAACTTTTCTTCTGAGGCAAGACAGTTCATGTTTCAGCTCAAAAATTTTCTTGACGTCTTTTACCTGAGTTCTTTACTTGTGTTTCCAGTCTAATGTTACAGAGGCTCTTGTTTCATGAGGTTGTTTTTTTTCAATTCATGCTGAAATATTTGCCTGTGATTTTCATGGGCACCACAGCAAACGTGTTTACTCTGTAGTGTGCTTTATGCTTCATTTTGTATATTATCTTTGTATAGATGCTGTCCTAGTTCCTTTTGTATTCCTCATCACTGAATAAATTGGAATTTTCCTGGACGAGTTATTTGCAGGAAGTTTCTGTAGAGTTAGATACTCCAAATTATCTTTCCTCTGCTGACAAATAACTCCCTAGACTGCTTTGTGCTAAAATTTCTGGGAAATTTTATTTAGCTCTCCCTCCTCTGCCTCTTTCATTCAAACCACTTCCGGTGGGGGGCGGGGGTGCCGTCTGTGCTGCTCAGGCCTGTTCCTGCTCCCATTGCTGCAAAAAAGGGGCCGTAGTCCCAACTCACAACGAGCCACTCACCGTCAGGAAATATGTTTTTGCTGGTGCTTACTGAAATATGCTGCCGCTGAGCAATTCGATAACTCCCGTATTATTCTCTGTTATTTCTTCTATGTAGCTTCTCTCGGGTACATTCATTTCAATTCTTCTTCCTAGTTCCCCTGAAAATGCATTCAGAGAGGTTTCTATTATCACTGTGGCTTTTGCATGATTTTTAGGAGGAGAAACGGAAGTTATGTGCTTGGGAAATTCCCTTAATCATTTCTTATCTGAGCTCCAGAAAGTATTATATGTTTCAAATTGGGAAATAAGTGACTTTCACATTGTATCATAAAGTACGTGAGGTTAGGTCGCATGACAGGACATTGCCTGTAGTGTGGTTCACGGATCACTTCTAACTTTTTCTTTGTATTTCTCTTCTTGTTTATCTCTGTATCCCAGGGACTGCTTATTATAATATCTGTCACATAGTAAGTGCTTAACCAACGTTTGTTGAATCGAATTGATGAATGAGTTGTGGATGTTCTACGTCAAAATGATGGTGAAATTTTATGACAGTGAGCATTTTATCTATCCATTTCTTAGTTGATTTTTGTTTAAATTATAAAGCAATAATTTTAAATATGGCCATTGATAGACTACAAATTTAGACAATAGTGCTGACATATAAAAATAACTCCTATGTACTAGGAGAAGTATATTTTACCAACTATATAGATTTAATTTGATGTACAAAATAAAACAATGGTATAACAAATGTTTTTTATTTGTCTTCGGATCTGAGATCATTTACGTAAACATTTGAATTTATCTGTTTCTTTTTACCCAGTTCAATAGTTTACAAGGTTCACACTATGGGAATGGACTAATCAATAACAAATTGAAACTCTTTACTGTTTTCCTGGTAGAGGACACAATGTACCATTTATATGGACTTTTCCCCAGCAGTTAAAGGATTCTTTAACTTTTTAGTTTTCTTGCTCTGTCTTTATGTAATATTAAATTGACATGATATTAAAGTGGCAATTTATGTAATTACAAAGAGCTTTCTAATCTCTGGATTTATACTGATATGTAATCGTCTCAAGATGAAATAAAAGCTATTGGTTAGTATGCTGGTTAAGAAGATGCTAATTTTCAATTATCATCCAGTGTAAAGTAAGCCTACTGAGCATGAATACTATATTTTGTATTAATTACATTAATGTAATTGCTTTTTATTAATTTTAATACTTAACAAATGAGATCATATCTGGAATGGAATTTTCAAAGTTTGCAGACATTTATCATAACTTCCCTTGAATTTTATTATAAAAAATATAAAATGTAAAAGCATTTTACATTCTTCATATTTGCATATGTTAAAAAATTCAATTTCTATTTCTTAAGAATAAAATGTTTTGTTGAGTTAGTGAAACATTAATTCTAAAATATTTTATTAATTCTTATTGCTCCTAGAATATTTACGATGTTAAATAAAAAGGCATTATTGGATTTATTTCCATGTAAGAAAGGATATATTATTTCCTCATATTCCATTTTGCTATATGGGGAATACACACACACACACACACACACACATATTTAGGTGAACTCCCAAATTAATATATTTCTGATTGAGGAGTAAATAGCCTGCATAAATAAATTCTGGAGATATAGTGTATAACAATGTGACTTACTGTTAAATACTGCATGACATTCTCGAAATTTGCTAGAAAGGTTGATCTTAAGCATTCTCGCCACACATACATGCACAAAAGGGAATTATGAAATGATGGATATGTTAATTGGCTTCATTGTGGTGATTATTTTACAATGTGTATGTATATCCAAGCATTAAGTTATATGCCTTAAATATATACCATTTTTATTTGTCGATTGTAACTCAATAAACATGGGGAAAAGATAGGAATTGTTAAAAAGTGAGTCAGTTAACCTCGCCCACCTGAGGGAAGGGGATTACACCAGACCGTGAACATTCAAAAGTAGGACTTATTTGGGGCTATTTTTGAGACTGTTTACCATGGTAATCCAGAGTGACACTGAAGACATTAATGAAGACTTTAGGAGGGCACTTAAATTCTCCCAGTTCTAAATTTAACTTATATTACATTTAAATATTTAATAATATGCATACATAATTATTGTAAGCACTCTCTAAAAAAGCAATACATATAGAAACTCTAAGCGTGAATGTTCCATAAATATTTTTCTCCAGAGTTTATTCATCTTGCAGAAGTGAAACTTTTCCCCCTTGATAACAGATGTCTCTCCATTTCCCCTCACCCCGAGTCCCTTCACAACCATCCCTCTACTCTCTATTTCTAAGACTTCGGCTGTTTTAGAAGTGCTGAAATGGCACTTCCAAGGTTAGGATTTGAAAAATCTATGCCTTCCATCTGGAATGTTCTCTCTCTGCCTCTCTCATGACTGGTACTGGGGGAAACAGGTCGCCAGGTGGTCAGCAGCACTGCGGAGAGGCCCCTATGGCCCGGCAAAGAAATGAGGCCCTCAGTGCCGTAGCCTGCGAGGTTCTGACACGTTCTGATAAGCACTTGAGCCAGCTGACGTGGCTGTTTGAGCCCCGGTTGGGTTCTGAGATGTGGCCCTGACTTACAAGTTGACAGCAACTTCATGAGAGGCCTTGCGCCAGGGCACTGAACAAGCTGTACCCAGATTCCTGACCCACAAGAACTATGCCATATAAATGTTTGCTGTTTAAGCTGCTAGGTTTTAGGGTGATCTGTTATGCGGCAGTCAACGTGGAAATATGGAAAGTGCGCACAATCTCATCTACTTCACAGAATAACATTTATGAAGTATGTCTGGTACACTTAACTGTTTTTTTTTTTAGCCAAACTGACTGCTATTAAGCAGGAAATAATGGATATTGGTGAATAGAAAGTACTTGCATTTCAGTTATTTTTATTCATTCTTCACATTTGATTTATTACCAGATTTTGTTGATTTTTATTCTTAAATTGTCTCCATGTCTCCTATAACCTCCTTGAATCTGCCTTTCCTTCCTTCCACCCTAAAATCTGCTTCCCACACTGTAAGGTTCTTTTCAAGTGAAACATGGTCATTTCATTCTGCATCCATCATTCTCCATGGTTTTTCAAAGCTCCTCATGGTTTTTGGGAGGAAGGAGGAAGGAAAGAAGAAAGGAAGGAAGGAAGGCAGGCCTTCCAAGGCTCTCTGTTCCTGGCCCCTGCCTATGCTTTTGCCATTTTCTTTCTAACTCTCTCAACACTCTACCTGAACATGTCTCGTTTTAGTTGACTGTGTGGTTATACCACGACTTCTCTCCTCACAATTTTCTTGCACATAATTCTTTCTCCTGCAGGGAACACATGATCTCCTTCAGTTGACTCCATTCTTTCAGCTTCAAACTAATTATCACCTCCTCTTTCATCTTAGGAATTACCTATGTTGAGACCCTTTACTTTCAAAAGTAGTGTAATTATTCTGACAAAACACATCATAGTTTGTGATAAGATAAATTAATTTTTTAAATTAATATTTGTTTCTCCACTATATCTTAAACTTTTTAAAGATGGTGATTAGGTCTGTTTTATTGCTGTTAGAAATTCAATTTCTAGCTTCCAGTTTATGCCTGACACATAGTAGGTATTCAAGAAATACTTGTGATAGAAAAATAAATACCTATGAAGAGAATTATATTAATGATGAACACTAATACAAATAAGCTGCTGAGAACAAACCCGGGAGTGAATATTAGTAGGCAATATTCAGAATTGTATGCTGAGACAAACTGTGCTTGATAAATTAAAAATGACTCAATAAGAATTTTATCTTCAAAAATGTACTATGACTTTGAAAACATTTTTCCACAAGCAATGAATCAGTGGTAGTTATAAAATATACTTATTGAAACAACAAAGCATTTTCACTATTATTAGAATATTTATAAACATACACACAGTATAGAGAACTCTCATATTCTCATGGGCAGCATCACTGATATTTTCCATATTTATTTCATCTACCCTTCTCTTTGTTTCCAAGTTCAATATAGTTGTATTTTAAGTACACATCTTGTAAAGATGTCCATCTAGATGAGGATCACAGAGAGATGAAGGAAAAGAATTTAAAGCTAAAAAGACATTAAATGTCTAGTAGTTAACTTGTAGACTGCATTAGGTCCTTATGTGGGTTCCTTCTTAATTGCCCCTCATAAATTGTCTATTATTATTATTATTATTATTATTATTATTATTATTTTGCATAGGCACCAAATTTATCCCCTAAATAACTGTAGCCAATTTTCTTCCTCAGTGGTGTAAGAGAATGTAACATTTAATATTCTAGGACATACTATTTTATTTTTAGTCTCAAGTATATTGTGAGATCCTGTCTTATGGTAGCCATCCATAAAATACTCTTTTTTAAAATCTCTTTTCAGGTATTATTTCTGGAATTTTCAACAGCTTCTTTTTTTCCCATAATTTCTATGCATTTTAAACAACTCCATTAATAAATCTGGTGACTAAGCATAAAGCCTGTAATTAGTCCTGGCCAGTGTGGCCCAGTTGGTTGGAGTGTCATGTGTTAACCGAAAGGTTGCCGATTCAGTTCACAGGCAGGGCACGTACCTAGGTTAGGGGCTGGGTCCCCTGCCGGGCAATAGAAAGGCAAACCAATCAATGCTTGATTGGAGAAACCAATGCTTCTCTCTTACATAGATGTTTCTCTCTTTCCCTTCTTCTCTCCCTTCCTTTCTCTTTAAAAACCAATGAGAAAAATGTTCTTGGGCGAGGGGAAAAGAAAAAAAACCTGTAACCAAAGTACAAAGTACATGGTATTTGGTTCTCTTTCAAATAGACAAGAACTTACTTCTGTTTGGACTGATCAAAGGGACAGGGCAGTTGGCAAACACCGAGTCATGATTGTGGGTTAAACATTATCCTGTTCCCTCTCAGGCCAAATGCTGGAAGAATTCATTGGCGAAGAAACAGTCTCAGTTACTCAGTTACTCTTTTTGGATAAAGTTTATGTTTTAGTTTTATTTATCTAGACAGTTATAAAGTGCAGGTCTTTCTTGTGGTTCACAACTACTAAAGTTCCAATATATATATGTCGATGGCATAATGAAAACATTAAAAATTATAGTGCATGTTCCAGGACCCAAATAGCTGAC